AGGCACTCGTAGACATGGGTATCATTATCGCTATCTATAATAAGTCCTGCAACGAATATTCAATACCCCTGTTTTTATAGTTGTTTATAGGAGCGGTAGTCACTTACCATCAGGTGACCGCATGCTCGTTTGCCCCCCCCCCCCCCCCCATTTATAAAAAAATACTACATACAGCCATAAAATGGACACGTCCGTACCTTTGAGACTGCTAAGGCGTCGAGAATAGATATCATCTCTGACGTATGCGAAAACTCTTACCTCTACTCCTACTTAACGTAGGTGTACTCCTAGAGTATCAGCCGGAGAGGACACCTGCGTTTCGGTCAGAAAGAGCAAAGCCGGCTTCGCTGTCTCCAGATTGTAGTAAATGGTGTTAAGTTTCAAGTAAAGTCTCCCGATGTTGCGGAAACTCGCTAATTAGGTTCCATTGTAAAGCAAAGTTAACCACTGTATGGTAATATTTTCCTTATTTCTTATGTTACATTGTTTCTTTTTTACTTAACTGTATTATCTGAAATATTTTAACCTACTACAAAGAAAGGAGGAGGTAATCAATTCGACTGTATTTTTGATGTGTGTTACCTTAGAACTTTTTTCTAGGTGAACCGATTTTCATGATTTTTTTATTTGAATTGTCCAATATTAATTTGTTCAAGATCTGACCAGTAATTTTTGAGTTATCCTTAATAATGCGTATTTAATTGAATTCGATCACACCGATGATGTTCCCATTTTAGAGATAGATACAGATAGATACACATAATTAAGTATGATTTGTAATTTAGAGTACACATATATACCATATATTATCCTATCATTGGATCAGTAATTTCTCGGATTACAAGGTACTCTTTTGTAAAAAAAAAATCCGGACTATAGGGGTTCTTAGGCAGTACTCTATAATCCGACAAATTCGATAGATCAGCACTGCCCTGCAAAATTTTTGTCAGATTACCGGGGGTCCACTGTATATGTATATTTTGTAAATATAAATGTATAAAAGTACGAGTATATATTTTGAAACTATTACATATAACATAAACATGCCGTACATATAAACAAATAGTGTAGCTAGATAAAGGTAGAATAATTATATATATATAAAATATATATATATATATATATATATATATATATATATATATATATATATATATATGAATTTGAGAGAATCAAGTTGAAAATAATAATTAATAATAATAATAATGTTTATTTCTCCTCACAAATACCGACCATACATAATAAAAACTTATATATATTTAAATACAGGTATGTTCACACTCATAGCCTAGAATCTGTGAAGAGCTGGTGTTTGAGATAGGCAATAAAATGCCTGTATTACAAATCACCAGGTCTCCACCCCATGAGATATAAATAAGAGCATTATTTGTAATTGACCGCTACAGATATTGTAGATCTTAGGATCATAATGTATTATTAATCAATGATATATAATCAATGTCAAATATATATATATATATATATATATATATATATATATATATATATATATATATATATATAAGTGACATTTTAATTTATATTTAAAACAAAAATTGTACTAAAAAAAAAAAGATAAATATAAAGTAACAGTGGTTTCGTAACCTCAACCTCATATTGTGTGTGTGTGTGTGTGTGTGTGTTGTGTGTGTGCGCGTTTATGTTAACATTTTTTATTTATAGAGTAAGTCTTCTGTACGGTTATAATCCAATTTTTTTTAACCACTCCGCTACAATAAATTTGCATTTAGTTTTCGTAAGCGAGTATATTGATAGTTCCTTATTCAATTTATTATAAAGGTTACTACTTTGGTAACAGAAAAATCGACGTGTAAAGCTACTTCTGTATAAAGTAATATTGCAGACTTTATCCTTGCGGCGCTGATTCCTAAATATCTCTGGTTCATATTGTAACTGGGAATGTTTTTTAAGGACGGTATATAAAATATAAAGCTGGCGTACAGTCAGGACTTTCCATTTTTGATAGAGGTCATACGTTGGATAATCAAATGGTAGGAACGAGCTCATTTTTAAAAGTGCTCTTTGGGCTCGTTCAATTTTCAGTATATGTGTTTTACAGGCACCACCCCATGAAGTGATACAGTACATGAGTTGAGACTGGCAAAGAGCGAAGTAAACTGATTTTATTACTTTTTCCTGACCCACATATCTCAAGGCCTTAAATATTACCATTAATTTGCGTATTCTTGCCGTTAGAAGGTCAATGTGATAGTGAAAACTTAATTTATTGTCAATCATTACACCTAGATATTTAGTTGAGTCTGTGTTTATAAGTTTTGGGCATGCACAGTTTGTATCATTGGGATTATCACACAAGTGTGAAACAATTCGATGTGTAGGGTCAGGCTTATAAGTATTTTTAATGGAAAAAGTTATATAATTTGTCTTTGAAACATTGAGGGTTAAAAGGTTCTTGTATAACCAACTCGTTACAATATTCATTCCTTTTTGAGCATTTGAGAAAACCTCATCCCATGTACTGCCACTGAAAAGAAGGACCGTGTCGTCTGCAAAGGTAATTATTTTTGCATTTGGGATTTTCATCTGACAAAGATCATTTATGTAAATGAGGAAGAGAGTTGGACCTAGAATACTTCCCTGAGGAACCCCAAAATTTACAGGGACTTCTTCGCTAATGATTTTATCAATTTGTACACATTGTGTTCTGTCTGTTAAAAAATCTTGAAGAAGTTTCAACTGGATGTCTCTGATACCAAGGTATTCAAGTTTTTTAACTAAAATTGGGACAGAGACTGTGTCAAATGCCTTTGCTAAATCTAAAAATATACCTATTGTTTTTTTCTTATTGTCAAAGTCATTAACTATGTAACTTGTTAGTTCGAAAACCGCATCTGATGTAGATCTGTTTGCTCTAAAGCCAAATTGTGCATGTGATAAAAGATTCTTATTTTCCAAATATTTTACTAATCTATTATTTATAATGCGTTCTAAGATTTTTGAGATAGTAGGAAGAATAGAAATTGGTCTATAGTTATTGACACAGCCTCTGTCTCCACTTTTGTGAATAGGGTGGATTCGTGATTTCTTATATATCCTCGGGAATACTCCAGTTGAAAGTGATAAGTTGCAAATGTACGCTATCGGAAAGGCTAGAACGTCCCTGTTTGCTTTTAGGGTCTCACTAGAAATTAAATCCAGGCCAACAGAGCAATTACTCTTTAGACCTGTTATTAGGTTACTTACTTCATTCTCATCCGTTAATAGAAGAGTAAAAGAGTGACAGCATGAATTTAAGACATGGGTTTGGACTGGGGGCTTATTTTTATACAGGTCTTCAGCTAAGTTTCTTCCAACATTTGCGAAATATTGGTTAATACCATTTACCGATGCTTGCGGATTGTTTGTATCTATTAGTTCTAACGGAATCTCTTTTGGTTTATTAGTATAAGTAATCTCTTTAAGAGCTTTCCAAAGTTTTTTGTTGTCTTTTCCTGCGTTTTGAAGTTGAAGTTTTTCATAGTTTCTTTTAAGTTTTTTTAATAGGGATGAGCAATAATTTCTGTATCTCTTATAAGTAGTTTTAAGCGTCTCATTATCTGGGTCTTTTTTTAGTTTTTTATTTAGGTTATCTCGATTTTTCAAACATTTTAAAACACCTAGAGTTATCCAGGGCTTCAAGATTTTCTTACGTCTAGAAATTTTGACTTCTCTTGAGTTTGATTTAATAGCTGATTGAAGTATATTGTGGAAATAAACAGCGGCTTCGTTAACATCTTTGATCTCGTACAAAGAATTGAAATCCTTATTTTTTAGTTCTGTGTTCAAAAGTTCGAAATTTACGTATTTTAATACTTTTGCAGGTTTTTGTTTAGAAGAAGAAGCAATGTATAAGGCAACACTATAATGATCACTTAGAGTTGTTTGTAGGATGAGACAACGAGCTTTCAATTTTGTCTTTAATATAACATGATCCAAGCATGTTCTATTATGTGTGGGAAAGAAGTACGCAGGCAACATTCCGTGAAATGCCATCATATCTAAGTAAATAGGAAGATTTGCATCTCTGCTTTGTTTAGCTATGTTAATATTAATATCACCTAATAATATGACATTTCGCTTACTTGAATATTTAAGTAATATAATATTAAGGGATTGAAGAAAATTATTAATATTCTTGTATCCGGGAGGTCGATAAACAGCAATAGCTACAGTATCTTTATTTATAGTAATTACAAGACAATTGGCGTCAGATATTATAGGTTCATCCACTGAGATAACTAAATCTTTTTTTATAATACACAACCACACCCTCATTTTGAGTGTGATTGTTAGTAGAAGCAAAGTTATTGTATCCATCCAAAGGAGGTATGCAATGAATAGATGATAGCCAGCATTCAGTAAGCACAATGCAGTCCCAGTCCACTTTTGTTCGAACAAGAATCGGTAGTAACCCAGAAAAATTACATTTTAAACTACGGATGTTTTGTTGAAAAAATTTAAGAGTTTTGTTCGAATAAGGCAAAAAAGACACGCAATCTTCAGCATCACATATATTGGAATCTGCTACATTATAAGAGTCGATTTCATTTTGAATTGTAATTAATTCACTGAATTTTACGGACAGAGCTATTAGAAGGATAATATTTACGAGGCAAGTGAGCTATGGAATTGAATTTTATAGTAAATACAAAAAATACTAAACTACAGCAATTTACCACAACAGGCATCGTTAAAACGAAGCAGATACTATTTTTTGAGCTAGGTAAGACATAAAATACGTTTAAAATAAGAAAAATATTTTTCGTATTTTTAACAAATAATGTGTAATGTATTTTGAGAATTGTAAAATTAAGTGTATGAATAAGTTTGTTTGTTTTGTATGTGTTAGAAATGCGATCGTGTATATGAGGCTTATTAATGTAAAAAGAACTTTTAATATTTTTTAAATAAAGGCAGAAATATACTATGCATGCAACTAAACAAAAGCTAAGTAATACTAAAAAGCATATATTGCCTAGTCAGATATTTTTTTGAAGGTTCACAATATCTTCTTGGCAGCTCACGTGTATGCGAGATTCATTTTGGTTACGTTTCAGATATACTTTGCCAAACGATGTCCAACAGTTTTCGTAGTTGTGTTTGTTGGCAAACATTCTAGCAAGATAAAATAGGTGTCTGGTTGATGCAGTGAGGTGTTCCGACACATAAATAGGCTTTGCGGCACCATCCATATTGAAACTCGCAGTGCTTAAACGTCCGGTGTTCATTTTATTGTAGGTTCTTGTAGCTTTAATAACCTTTTCTCTTTTAACAGTTGATGTGAAATCGACGATGATAGGACCGTTTGGTTTGTTTTTCAGCTTCATCCGGAACACATCACGAATTTCCGAATCCTGAATCGGAACGTTTATTACTGTGCCGAACTTTTTTGTAAATTCAATTAAATTTTCCTTGTCCTCGGATTCAGACATCGGAACATTTCTTATTTCAACTGTGGTTGTTCGTGCATTTTTTTCTAATTGTTCAAGCTTCCCTTCTAGTGTTTTAATGCGGTTTTTAAAAAAGTCATTTTCTTGTTGAAGTTTTTTTAAGTTATTTAAAACATCATCATATTTAGCGGACAAATGTATAACTGTGTCCTTGATTTCGTCATTTTGCTTTGATAAGGCGTTCATGGATGACTCCAAAGAAGCGAACTTAGCATCTTGCAATTTATTCATTTCATCCAATCTTACCATTAGGTCCGCTAATGTTAAATCGGAGGTGCTGGGTGGATTATTTAACCGGCGTTTAGATCTTTTTTTAATATTAACATCTATATTATGTTCATGGCTCTCGAGGGTATAGATAGCTGAATCGGATCCATAGTGTGTGGGAGAAATAGATTTGGAACTGTTTTTCGTAGGTGTGCGTGCAACTGACATTTTGATAACCCAAAAAAAAACTTTAATAAATCTAAATTATAACGTTGTAGTAAAATAAAATATTAATTACTTTAGACCATACACCAATATTTACCCGCTAGCTGCTGACGCTTATAAATTGCGACACGCGACAGTGCGAGTATGCGTGCAGAGTAGCGTTAGGATGCGTTCGTTGTCTCAGCTCTCAGTGGTTGTTGTCTTGCTCGTGCCGCTTCACTGTATTAGTTGATTGTTTTGACGCACTGTTTTATGCGCGCCTAGTACTTGGACAAAATTATATCACTTTTATTTATTTTTAAAAACTAATTTATTTTTTAAAATAAACACACACGGGCACAAGTCTTAACACTCACAGTCACAATAATTATGTACATATTTCTTAAAAACCGGTAAGAATTGAGCACGTCTTGCTGATAAGGGCAAGTTATTCCATAATCGGACAGCTTGTATTGTGAATGATCTGTCCATAAATTTGGTAGTGTGAGTTAGCATTTTAAATATCAAATTTTATTTTATTTCATTTTATTTATATTGAAGTCGGTTATACAAAATTTTTAATTTTACCAGTTGTCTCTTACGATACGATGATATAAATTTGTGTATTTTTTCTCATATTACACTATCCGTACTCATAAGCACAATACTCGTACTAATTTTTTGTCTGTTTTCACCTATTATACTATTCGATAAGAGTAGAGTCGGACTCTGGGACACAATACAATAAATTAAACAGAACCAAATTACAAAGGTTTTCTTTAAAACCTAACCGAAAATAAATTAGTCATCATTACAGCCCTTCACAAGTCCAATGCTGAATATAGACCTCCCCAAGGAATGTCACAAAGCACAGTTCTGAGCCACCTGCATCCATCGATTTCCTGTATGTCTTACCAAGTCGTCACTCCATCTATTGGGGGTCGCTCTACACTTTGCCTTCGGGTGTTGGTTTTTCTAGCTATATGGCGGGCTCATTGCCTCTTCAGATTATTAATTAGTTAAAAAGCATATTGTTTGTACACAATCTTGAACCTTATACGAGTGTCAATTCATTTTATTGTGAACATCAAGTTGACATTACAATTCCTTTCACTACAAATTAAGAACTTAATTAGTTTTTGTTGCTATTCGTTAATAAATTTTCAACTTCAAGTTTACGCAGTTACAATCTGCAATTATCTTTTATTGATTTGTTTTGCAAAAAATAAATTTCGTATTATATAAAAGTATATTGCGATTGAGATATAATTAGAAAGAGAGAGAGAGAGAGAGAAAAAGAAATTGTTATCTTGTAATTTATAACAAGTGATTCTTTTTCCGACAAGCTCTTCCGACACTCAAGGGTGATGTAGTGTAGTGTTGCCCAAATGCAAGAACAAGACGAGACTTAACCAGTCTTGGTCTTGGTCTTGCACCAATACACCTGGTCTTGTTCTTGGTCTTGGTATTGCGCTCTCATTATTGTTCTTGGTCTTGGTCTTGCAGCAAGAGTCTCGCAAGTCTCGCAATTACCTATTAGCCTATTGTTATTTATTAAACGTTACTTTTAGATCTTAGAACAACTTAACAGAGTAGGCACATTTTGAGCTTGAATTAGCATAGCCATAGAAAGACCATCCAAATTAATAAATGTCTAAACATTTAATGAGAAATTCGAAAAATCAACTAACAGCGGGTGGGGTTTGAACCCACGACCTAAGCGATCCGTGCCGATGCTCTAACCAACTGAGCTGTCTACCAAGTCTCACGGCCACGGGAGTTAGTCTGTTTCCTAATAAACATTTTTTTAACATTTAGTTTAAAAGAAACATTTAGTTTACATTTAATAAGCTTACGTGTGCTAAAACTTAGTCAAAACATATAAAAAACAAATTAATGACATTAACTTGACTGTATTATAAAGAACATTATCTGTCTGGAAAGAGATTGATAGACCCTTATATGAAATGGAATAAAAGAGTTACACAATTTACCATTTATTTAAATAAAAAAATAAAATACAATACAAATTAAATTACATAACAGCACACAACAGCTTTGACATTACTGTTATTTTATATTAATTCTTTTGACCAAGAATTAATACAAAGTAACCATCTGGCTAATTCATCACTTAAACTATTTCTACGTTTTCTAATTACTAATGATGCTTTAGAAAATAGTCTCTCAGCAGGTACCGAAGTTGCAGATATTGAAAGAAAATCACGGGCCATCTTCGATAAAGTCGGATATTCTGTTTCATGCGTCCTCCACCACTCTAATGTCTTCCGAACCGGCGGCTCTCGGTTTACTTAGGTACTCCTCCAACTCGTCTATAACGAAAAGAAAAGATCCAGATCCAGATGACGTCGAGGGACATGCATACAATTTCTCAAAGTCTATTACGTCTTCATCTTCATCATATTCACATACTTTCTTTTCATTTCTTGGTGTTTCTAGAGATGTATTCACTGAGAAACTTTTATATTCTTTATAAAGTTCATTAAATTTGCGCAGGCTTTCTGTTTTAATTTGCTTCCCCCATAATGTCATGTCAAAAGCCTGAGTCTTATACTTTGGGTTTAAAATTAAAGAGGTACAATAAATCCAGTTGCTCTTTTATAATATTTAAGCATTTTGTCTCGAGCTGCTTGAAAACCCAGAATGATCCTTTCATTTCTCATCTAATTGTTTTACCATGGATTCAATTTTATCGAGCAAGAGATTGAATGATACAATGACTAGCTGTAATGTAACATATTTTTCTCCACCAAGTTTCGTTGATAGAAGTTTATAGTTTATTAGAAACATGTATTTTTTAGAAACGAGTATTTGCCATTCACTATCTGTGATTTGAAAATCATTCAATTCGGTGACAGAAGTACACAATATGTTAATGCCATTTCTCACTTTTAAACCAAATCCAATCATATCATGTGTGGAATTCCATGTCGTTGGACGTTGGACAATTGGGTTCAGATTTGATGGCACGCCAGCTGCTTCACAAGCAGACTGAAACTTCCTCTTCAATATCTCATTTCTTTTTATTTTACTGGAAATACTGCGTAATTTTGTTATAGCTGTACGTGAGTCAGCAATATTTGGCGCATATTCTTCATCTTCCTCAGTTTCGTCTTCATTATCTTCATACTGCTGTTCCTGTCCCTTATTGTCAGTTTCGCTGTGTAATGCTAAGGTCTTTAATAAATATTGTACACCACGGTTCAAAATGTGAGCAAAGCACCGTAAATGTTGATTGTCTGAATCAAAGTGTGGCAGTTCAGTATTCGACCTTTGATGATGCCGATAACAAGACGCCGCGCACTATCAAAGTGCCGATGATCAAAACTAGGGATGCACTGCTTGTTTTTTAAATAGATATTTTCCATCCGCTATGTATGTTTATGGTATTGTTCGTAATGCGCATAAGTCCAATTTTCCAAATTGTTTTTATATATTTTTTGCGTCTTATAGAGTCCCTAAGCGTATACCCGAACTCCTATACTCCCTAAAACGACACTCATTCCTAACTGCAAGACGCAAGAGTCTCGCAGGCTTAATCTTATTCTTGCTCAAATCTTGCACGGTCGGTCTTGGTCATGGTCTTGCTAAAATTAGGCGGTCTTGTTCTTGGTCTTGGTCTTGCAAAAATGCAAGAATAAGACCAAGACTGCAAGATCAAAACCGATTTTGGGCAACACTAATGTAGTGGAATGATGGTGGTGGGTTAGTAGTGGACTGGAGTGGGATTAATGTATACGATAAATAATAATGCGAACTAATACGATATAATACGAACGTCACAGCGGCTAGTCTAAACCGTGACCAGCTTACGCAGGGCAGGATTATAGTGCCCGAGTGCATACGTAAGCACAGGTGCACTTTCTATTCCCTCACTCTTATATACCGATGGGACGGAAATCAGACTCAACCTGAGAGAGATCAAGCACAAGAGCAACGGCTTTACGTGCCTTCCGACGCAAAGGCTTGTAACATCGCTAACTTCCTAATAATTTTGGCCCCAATAACTGATTTTCACCATAACCGGGATTCAAACCCTGGATCTCAAGTATGTATGTAGAACTTAGATGTAGTTGACTACCAGGAGGTCAAGGTGTGGGTGGGGCCAGGAAGGGGCGAGTACTCAGCCCCTAAGCAAACACAGCTCTCTAATTTTCTGTAGTACTCCTACCGAATTATATTATATCCACATTGCGAAACTAATGCTTTTTTTTCTAACAAACAATGTATTATCACAGTTTAACGAGACATAATTACTATGCGTGTATTAAACATTTTGGTCATGTAGACTATATCTATTTTGTTACATACAACATGATATAATTCTTTATACTTATATTATTAATACTAATACTGGCAGACTGTATTTACCGTGATTAAAAAATATGATGTAGGTAATGTGTGAACGAAGTAGAACCTATGGCATAGATATTTTTCGAATTTATTGTTTTTTATCGACATTTTTTAAAATTGAAAATAAATTAAAACATTATTATTTGGAAATAGATATTTTACCTAGCAGCCGTTTCAAGTTCTGATGAAAAATTGCCACGATTAATGTTCGCTGGGGGTGCATATGATTTGAATTTGTTAATTATTAGTCCCTTTTTATTTATTTTTTAAATTGGATCTTGATATCAAAAATCTGATCTTTTGGGCTTTTATTGACCACACACAACATACACGTCCAAGTTACTCTGAAGGAATAATGCCTGGTAGTGGTGTAAAATTGCGTAAGATCCTTCAACTTCTACGCGAACAATAGCTCGACGCACGGAAATAGGGAAATAGATAGTGCATGATATTTTAAAAAATAATGAATTTAACCCGTATCACGTTACGCGCGTGCAGACTCTTCAACCAAGAGGTTATAATCCAAGATTGCATTTTTGCGAAAACTGCAGAACAAAAGAATTTAAAGAACCGCAGTGATGCATCAACATTTAAAAGAGATGGCTACATGAATTTACATAATCTACATAGTTGGCAACTAGAGAACCCTCGTGCTATGCATGAAGACATAATATCATAGTACCAATTTAAAATAAATTATTAGACTGGAATTATAAACGGGAAAATAATAGGCCCATTTGAATAACGGGGAAGCTAACTGGCCAATGTTATTTAGAATTCCCAAAAAACGATTTTGCTAATTTATTGCCAATGGTGTATGTAGTTTAAAATATATTGGGACTATAACGGCTTTGTACCAATCTTCCGGTACAGTTGCAGTTTCCAACATAAATTAAACAAGATGTACAGCAGGCCTGCCAGCACTCCCTCTCCAGTCCTTAGCATTTCACGCTATATTCTGTCATATCCAGCTGCCTTACCTGCTATCATGCTTTTTATTGTTTTCATTATTTAATCTACACTAATCTCCATATATCTTTCAACTTCTTTCGGAATTTCTTCATTTTAATCAGATGACTCTTTATTCATGGACAGACTTAAAAAGTATTCCTACCATCTTTTTAAACTCGAAACTTCATTAATCATTCACATTTCGTGTAACATTAATTCTAGGCTGTTTTGAATTTCCTCTGGCAGATCTTACAAATTTCTGGTATATTTTAATATTTATTCTATCATTCTTATCCATTTTTTCTTGCTTTCTCGGTTCAACTACTTTTACTCTCTTATTTAGACGTCCAAAGTCTACCTTTTTTTTCAATCTCATCATTAATACTGCCAGAAATACCAGATTTGGTTGCTAGTAAATTTAGCCATGCTCTCTTCTTCCATCCATACTTAATCATACCATCAAAACGTATTCATTTTCCTTTAATTCGTTCTTTTACTTACACCACATACTTCGGTGGCTGTATCCAGCAAAATCTTTCTCAACATTATCCCACACAGTCTTCAAGTCTAAATCATTCATACACAATTCATCCAAACCACTAATTTTTCTGTGTTTACATTTATACTTCTCTTTCACACCTTCATCTTGTAACCTTTCTATTCTTATTTGCTGTAACGCAGTGGCAGATACAGATGTCTGATGCCGCCAACGCTTGAATAGACCATTAAATCGGTATAAGACCAAATAATTATATGTGCCTACGTTCAGTGGCAAAGCCTCCATAGAAGCCAAAAAGCCAGGCTTCCTTTTCAATCTGCTCAATCAACAATATCAACTAATATAATAACTCGTAAACTGTTTCAAACTATTTCAAGTTTCCCACACGCTCCTCTTTTCTAGACAGGTCATGACCTCGTAGCATATATGTAACGTCAACACTTGGCAGTTTTCTTTCAATTCGAAATACACTGGACTGTCAAAATTAATGAAAGCAAGGAGTTGATTTTGTCGTCTCTCTCGCACGCGATAACGAATCAAAATGCAGATGCGTTGTCACCCGTGAGGACTAAGATGGTATTCCTTGTTTCCAGTAAAAAGGGTCTCCGGTTCTCTACACTCACCATACGAAACACAGCAGCATTAAGCTACTATTTCACTCTGGTATCCTGAGAGTTGAATATTATTTATGCTGTTTCAAAGATTTTTAGTGAAAATGGGAGGATAATAGTGTTCCTTGTGATGAATATATGTGTTAAAAACTAATCGGCAAGGAAAAGTTAAAATCTTTAAAAATAAAATTTTAATTCAATAAACATTTCTTCATACTTTAACATGACTCTTTATTAAATTTTAATTAAGCTAGGCGTATTTAAAGGTTTAATAACTCAATACTTATATTACCATATGTGTTAAAATATAATTTTGAACGGCAGCATAAAATATGAGATACCTTATAGCAAATAATTGTTACAATCTTTCTTTTTTTAATTTGAAGCCAAAATTTTAATGTAATATAAACTAATAAACCAAAAAATACATGTATTGAGGTTTTTAAAGAATATTTCCTTTAGTCCTTCAGTATATAAAATTTGAATAGCGTCATCTACTTAATTCTATAGATGAAGTCAGTTTATCAAACGAAAATTGATTGATTCTCACGGTGGTCTCACGTAAAGATTACGCTAGATGGCACAATCACGCTATCGGCTAATTTAATAATTATATTACCTACCATATGAGTTAAAAATATCATTTTGTACGTTTTATTAAAATTTAAATTGAGTAAAAATTTGCAAAGCTTTATCTTCTCATTATACCATATTTAAATCCTGTCGTAATCTGTTCTTCTATGCATATAACTTAAACAAAATAATGTCGATGTTTTACATCTGCCAGGCGTCCCTTTTTTAATTTTGTACATAGTTTGCTTGTACTTTGTTCATGCTTTTCTTTTGTTCATGTATTGTATTGTATGTAAATAACTTTTTCTTTCGCTCAAGCAAACCCAAACGGCTATTTTCAAAGCCACCGAAGGTATGCAATTGCATATGTCATACAATCTATACGCAGTCCTCGACAGCACTGAAAATGAACCCGAAAAGTGGAGACAGATTGAAATAATACTAGTTTTTACGGAATTTATCGCGTGTATTTAACTTTTTAATTACCAGACGTTTCGAACGCTTTACAGCACTCATGGTCACGGGCAGGACTGAGATGTTCAACGTCCATATGTCATAGTTAACCGCGGTTACCATAGATTAAAATTTAACTTTTGTTCCGATCTACGCAGTATGAACTTATGGTATCTTGAAGTCTTGCAGTTGTATGCTTGGGTTGGGATTTAATTTTATTTATTATAGGATCCCAAGCAGATGGTAGCACCCAGCCATCTTCTCTATTGAAATTAGGATGTTTTTTGATTTCAATAGCCTCGCGAATCATCCTTGGAAGGAATCGGTGTTCTTTAGCGAGGATCTGCGGTCTATCAAATCTGATGTAGTGACGGGGACGATCCTGTACGTGTTCACAGACTGCTTAGAACATATAGCTGATGTGAAGAATCGACGCTCCGGGAAGTCTGCAGTCTGCACATTTCATTAACACCATCCTCACCATGTCGCAAAACTGTTAACTCGAATATAAGTGGCCTTATACGTGTATGGGGCGTACACCTCTAGCACAAACAACTTCTTTAAACTCAATTTCATTCGCAATCTCTGACATTCATTCTTTTACACATTGACCCATTCCTTCTGAAAGGATGATATCGACTCCCTAGCATGCCCGCTTGGTCTCGTCTAATCAGAGCCAGACCAATAAGAAACAAGATTGCAAAAAAGTATAAGTAAGAGTTAACTTGGGGGTTCGAGTCAACAATCGACCCTACAATCGACCCAACTATCGACCCAACTATCGACCCAACAATCGACCCAACAATCGACCCAACAATCGACCCAACAAGGTCGACCCAACAATCGACCCAACAATCGACCCAACAATCGACCCAACAATCGATCCAACAATTGACCCAACAATCGACCCATCAATCGACCCAACAACCGACCCAGCAATCGACCCAACAATCGACCCAACAATCGAACCAACAATCAAAACAACAATCGACCCAACAATCGACCCAACAATCGATCCAACAATCGACCCAACAATCAACCCAATCGAACATAATCAACCCAACAACTACCCCAACAATCAACCCAACAATCAACACAACAATCAACCCAACAATCAACCCAAGAATCAACCAAACAACTACCCCAACAATCAACCCAACAATCAACACAACAATCAACCCAACAATCAACCCAACAATACCCCAACACTCAACCAAACAATCAACCCAACAATCAACCCAACAATCAACTCAACAATCAACCCAACAACCAACCCAACAATCAACCCAACAATCAACTCAGCAATCAACCCAACAATCAACTCAGCAATCAACCCAACAAGCAACCCAACAATCGACCCAACAATCGACCCAACAATCGACCCGACAATTGACCCAACAGTCAAGCCAACAATCGACCCAACAATCGACCCAACAAATGACCCAACAATCGACCCAGCAATCGACCCAACAATCGACCCAACAATCGACCCAACAATCGACCCAACAATCAACCCAACAATCGACCCAACAATCGACCCAACAATCGACCCAACAATCGATCCAACAATCGACCCAACTATCGACCCAACAATCAACCCAACAATCAACCCAATAATCAACCCAACAACTACCCCAACAATCAACCCAGCAATCAACCCAACAAGCAACCCAACAATCGACCCAACAATCGACCCAACAATTGACCCAACAGTCAAGCCAACAATCGACCCAACAATCAACTCAACAATCAACCTAACAGCCAACCCAACAATCGACCCAACAATCGACCCAACAATTGACCCAACAGTCAAGCCAACAATCGACCCAACAATCGACCCAACTAATGACCCAACAATCGACCCAGCAATCGACCCAACAATCGACACTACAATCGACCCAACAATCGATCCAACAATCGACCCAACAATCGACCCAACAATCGACCCAACAATCGACCCAACAATCGACCCAACAATCAACCCAACAATCAACCCAACAATCGACCCAACAATCGACCGAATAATCAACCCAACAACTACCCCAACAATCGACCCAGCAATCAACCCAACAAGCAACCCAACAATCGACCCAACAATCGACCCAACAATTGACCCAACAGTCAAGCCAACAATCGACCCAACATTCAACGCAACCAACACTCTCGAGAGACAACCGACACACTGATGATAATCACGAGGAGTGCGTTTGTTTGTCAGTTTCTTTAATTTCAGTGCTGTTAGAGCCCTATCTCATTAGGATGCCATGGCATCATACGCCGGCAGTGCTTCCATGGCTACCGTCGGCGTCCATGAGACGCCAAAACTAGTCGCTAAACCCGATATCAGGTGAATTTAGTATCGCTTGTTCATGCAACCACAATGGACGTCGAAGAGATCGCGATCCTCATTCTTTACCGCCGTAGGCAAATAAAACGAAAAAATTAAAAGAAACTATGGATACACCCTTTTATTGCCGAGCAAATGAGAAGTGGCATTTTTTACAAATTATAGGTACGACGACTTACAAAAATATCCTAATTTTTTTTTATTACTTGATTATGTCTTTGCTATCATTTGATGAATTACTTACTACACACACACTACACAGCGTGGCGCCGCTACCAAGACAAGCAAGCGGGCGGGTTCGAGCTGGCATCGCTGCCAAAATGGCTTCGACGTCAAGCCGTCGCCAAGTGAGGTCAGGTTAAGTACGTTCCAATAGAATTTAATATGTTGGCGACGCTGCCGGCGTCGATGCCATGGCATCCTAATGAGATAGGGCTCTTAGGCGAGGGAATTTATATTTTTTACAACTTTAAGTCTTAATTGCTGCATTTATGTTATTATTGGTTACATATTTAAAGAAAGAAAGAAAGAAAGAAAGAAAGATTTATTGCAGCACGCCACAAACATCAGAAGGCACTTAAATTTTAACACACATCAATTATAAACGTTATAACAAACAAAAACAAAAATAGGAAACAAAACAACAATTTGACGGATAAAACAATTTAAATGTATATATATTTATAGATTATAATTAAAAAAATAGAAAGACACAAAAATCGTTTCTCATATTGTACGAGTATGTTGTGGCGCGTCACACAAACGGACCTCACTCAACTTATGCTGTCGCCCGAGCAACAGCGCTGGTTTTCAGTGTATAGTAGATAGTAACGTACGGACGTCCGCGCGTGACATAATAATATTTTAAAACCATCTGTCTAACTAGGCTGAAATTATTTATTTCAAACCGAAAGTATGTGCATGTGCTTATTATACATGCACTTCATTTTTATTTTCAAAAATTTTGTGTTACCAGTGTGTTCTTCACTTTATTAATTAAAGTTATATTATCTCAAAAAGTTATTATTACGTTGTATTCGTTTTCTTATATTAATATATTTTAATGTATATTTTTAACACTTATTTCTAAAACTTATACATAAATTACATCAGTTATTAATTGACGACACTAAATCCAATACCTATCTTTTGGAGATACATTCCTTCGGTAAGTGTCCTTAGCGAAGGAATGTATCTCTATCCCATAACCTTACTATTGTCATTTTACCTTTTTAGTTTATAGTAAGTATAACTATGAGTCATACTGTTCAATCATCATCCTGGAATGAAGGAAATGCCTGTACCTTGCAATGAAATCATGATTGATGTTATTCTATAAATATGTAATTCATTATAACTAAAACTAAAACTAAAAAACGAGTTAGCAATAAGTGCACAACTAGCAGGAACAGCATTGAGGGCAGCGGTTTCGAACTACGCAGGGTACAAATATTTGTACGGCCTAAAAATAATTGTTACGGGTTTCGATCTTTGTCTTCGTGAAATTTATGGATGTAAACTACCGCCACAATAGAGGAGGAGGAGGTAGGAAATTAAAAAAAAAACAAGTCCACTTCTGAACATAGGCTTCAGTTATCAGGCCATTACTCTATTAAGTGAGGAGCCGCACTACACTACACTTACCGCTACGGGGATTCCACTCTAGAAAATTTCTTCCCCATCGGTTGTCAGTTCTTCTTATTAATATACTAGCTCATTGACACTCCAGCTTACTGATCTGTTTGGTTACGTCGATGACTCTGGTTCTATACGGATATCTTCATTATTTTAGTCTATCACGCTGACAAACACCGCCTCTTCATAGTCTCATTTCGGCCAGCAGTAATGGCAATATTTCAGGATAATATTTCATAACTGGTAACACGCATTGGCTGCACTACAAGTAGTTTTATATTTCCATTGGATATAAATGATTGCTGAAGTGGACCAGTAGTATTGCAATAAATTATTATCCACTTAGTGTGAGAAAAACAGTGGATTGTGTAGATTTTACCGATTAGGATGTTGAAGTGTAATTTGCCTTGATATTGTTTCTCTTAAGTTATCTGAATAGCAAGAAAAGTTTGCTAACGTTTTTGGAATATGTTGATGTGCCCAGCTTTGGGACGTATATAAGCTGTTACTTTGCTTTTTCTTTAATTTTGCTGGACATGTACAAGTCGAGTGGGCCTGACAGAATACCCCCAATTGTGCTGAGGACCTGTGCTCCAGAGCTGGCACCGGTTTTAACGTGTCTTTTCCGGTGCTCCCACTCCCTAGGCGTAGTCCCAAAATCATGGAAGACGGCTTTCGTCCACCCGATCCCTAAAAAAGGAGACCACTCAGACCCATCCAACTACCGGCCTATCGCCATCACCTTCTTGTTCTCCAAAACAATGGAGTCCATTTTAAACTGCCAGCTCATGAGGTACCTTGAGGATCACCAGCTGATGAGTGATCGCCAATACGGGTTTCGCCGTGGTCGATCAGCTGGTGATCTTCTGGTCTTCCTAACTCATAGATGGGCGTAGGCAGTAGAGTCCAAGGGGGAGGCATTCGCCGTTACTTTGGACATTGCAAGGCCTTCGATCGGGTTTGACACAAAGCGCTTCTTTCGAAGCTCCCTTCATATGAGCTTCCCGAGAAATTATTCAATTGGATCACCAGCTTTCTTGCAGATCGGAGCATCAAGGTCGTTGTAGACGGTGCAAGCTCCGATTACAAGCTTATTAATGCTGGGGTTCCACAAGGCTGCGTGCTATCACCAACGCTGTTTCTTCTATATATCAATGATACGGTGCAAACCCGTAACATTCATTGTTATGCAGATCACAGCTCTGGTAATGCTCTGTACACCGGCCGTGCCAATATTTCTCGAGAAAACGTCTTCGATTACCGGGACAAACTTGTGTCGGAAGTCGAGTCTTTGCTGAACAGAGTCTCGTATTGGGGGCGACTAAATCTTGTCAGTTTAACCCTAAGAAGACACAAGTTTGCGCGTTAACCGCTAAAAAAAACCCTTTGTCGTATCTCCTCAGTTTTAAGGCACTCTCCTTGTTGCCTCAGCCAGTATCGGAATCCTCGGCGTCGACATATCGAGTGACGTGCAGTTTCGTGGTCACTTGGAAGAGAAGGCCAAATTGGCTTGGCATGCTCAGCAGAGCGGGTCAGGGTGCATGTGTTGTACGTTGCCAGGTCGAGCCGTCTTAGTTGGCAACTGAACCTCCACCGGAAATTCTTAGCACCCTCTGCCCCGCCGTTACCATGGTTGCCACCGTAGCCAGGAATAGCGGGGCCACCGGCGACTGGAGGCCATTTATTTGTATTGTTGCTCATGGGAGGGTGTATTGCCATAGTTGCCACGCTTGGCGAACGGGTTGGCAACAGCAGTTTTTATTGCTACTCGCTGTTATCGGGAAGAAGCTGCTGCTCATCTCCTGTCTGTTTCCACCTGGTGACACCCACTGGAAGATATGGATATTCTGAACCGCCACTACACGGCAGTTAGTGCCTCACAATATTTGGTAGTGATCACCGCCTTTATGATAGAATTGCAGGTGGCTCAGGATCTTGCGTTGTGGCATTACTAATGATAAAGAACATAATGATAACGATATACACTTTTCGTAGAAATATTTTAATAATTCAATTTCAAAATAATTAAGGACAGTAAAATGTACGCGCATTTGAGAGCTTTTGCAATATCATAAGATGACCTTTCTAGGTTATTATTTAAACATAGATGTGAGATGAGCAGCCTTTGTAGTGCCGTATTCTTACGACGTTTTCTTTTAACTGGATTTTATTATTTCTTTTATTACTGTCCTTCGTTGAGTGTAAACTAATGTGGTTCTCGAGGTAAATGTTTTGACGAAATATCCCTGTGAATGAGTTTTAAAATATTTTAAGGCGAATATCATCATCATCATCATCATCATTATAGCCCTTCACAAGTCCACTGCTGAACATAGGTCTTCCCCAAGTAAACTTAACAATAAAAGTATTTTTTTTTTCAATTTTAATTTTAAATTTTTATTATTATTTTATTTTATCGCATGTTTTTCGGAATACAGTCTGCTTAATCGTACCCCAGAGATAAAATCTAAAGGTGTGAGATCAAGTGATTATGCCGGCCAGTTGACTGTTCCACCGCGGCCAATCCATCTTTCACCGATTTCAGTATCCAAAAAACTTCTCACACAACGGGAGAAATGCGGTGGAGCACCATCGTGTTGAAACCACATGCGACGAACGAGTTCTAAATTTATTTCGTCAAGTTCATTGCTTAGTTCTTCTCGCAAAAAACGTCCGTAGTTTTCACCGTTCATTGTGTGGTCAAGGAAATACGGACCAATAATTTATCACCTATAATTCCCGCCCACACATTGATTTTCCATCGGTGTTGAAAGTGGCTTGGTTTATACGAATGCGGATTTGTCGTTGACCATACGTGTTCATTATGAGCGTTAAATACACCTGTTCTTACAAAAGAGCATTCATCCGTAAAAAGTACGTGGTTGAAAAACTCAAGATCTCCTTCAACCTTATCAAGTAACCATCTACAGTAATCCATTCTCGACGATAATGATATGGGTGCTGGACATCATCTTTGAGGGCTCTCCAAACGCGCATATGGTTCACACCTAGTTCACGTGCCACCGAGCGCGAGCTCCGCGTCGCATCTTGCTCAAACATGTCGAGAATGTGCTCCTCGGTGACGTCGTCGTACATCCTTGGTCTTCCTGAATCTGTACGTTGTATCACGGCCTTGCACACAGCCAGTATTGTACATACGAATGTGAAGTCGTTGGAACGTCATCGCCGACGGCAATTGTATAT